TGTTGCTGCTCCCAGACTCTGGAACTCCCTCCCACAAGAGGCCAGGCTGGCCCCATCTTTGATGTCCTTCTGCAAGCAGGTGAAAACTTTTCTGTTCAGGCAAGCTTTCCCAGAGTGACTGGCTGCCTGAGAGGATGGGTTCCCCCCCCCCTTTTCAATGGATTGTTGTACCTTACTGCATTAAATGTGTTTTGGTGTTGCTTAGGTCTTTTGGTACTGTATTCATTGATCATTTTAGTATGATATGCTCATTAGTACTCATCTTAAATACTGTCTTTTAATTGTTGTAAGCTTAAAGCAAAAGGCGAGTAAAAAAAATAGTTTAAATAAATAAATAAAAATAAGTAAATGTGATCCAACAAGCCAGGGATAGGAAATCTGTCTTTCGGATTGCCCCTGACCCAACTGCTGACCTCACCATGCTTGGAAAAAGCCTGAAAGTGAAAGAAATAAAACCAGGAATGCATACATAGGCCAGTTTCTTGGGAGAGGGTGGCGGGGGTGGGTGGGAGAGGAGGATCTTGGAGGACTTCCCTCCCCACAAGGCACTGAGCTGTTTCTTCATTAATGCCAGAAGCGGCACTGGATTGCTCCTGGAGTGGAAGGATCAGCCAGCTGCGAGATGAAAAATGTCACTCTGGAGGCATAGAGGGAAAGCAGATACAGGCCTTTGGGGGGCCAAGAGTTTTCTCCCTCTTCTTTTGGCATTTTTGAGGCCAGCCCTGGAAGGATCTTTAGAGGTCACGAAATGCTCCCCGGTCACCACATGCAACCCACTCCTGCCGTAAGACCCTGTGACCAAAAGACTGAGCTCTGAACTAGGAAGCGCCCAGTTCAAATCCGGGGAAAGCAAGCAATGCTCTTTTTTTTTCCTTAAGGCAGGCTTCTGGCCAGTCAATGTCTGTCTCTCCCCAGAGATGGTGGCTGCTCTCTGCCCTCTGGTTGCTTTCTACTTAGGGTGACGCTATATGCGTGCATGTAGAATCATAAAACAGCTACAGGGATTCCGCAGGAAAACCCCCAACTCATCAGGGCAGGGCTTGGGGGGGGCGTGGATTGCCAGCTGCCCTGGACAATCCATGGCGAGGAAGGGAGAGAATAAGGGCACCCCAACCACAACAGCTGGGATCTGGGGGAGGGGGCTCCAATGAACATCTCACCCAAATAGCAGATCAGATGAAGGAGATGAAAATGGATATATCAGAAGCCAAACAACAGATAACAGATGTCATGGTCTCGGTCTCTTCCAGGCGGGCGAGCAGGTCCTCCGCGGGGTGGCTGCGCCTGGCCAGGCCCACCATGAAGGCCACCACATGGCGCTCGCTGAGCCCCAGCAGGTCGTGAAGCTGCCCTGAGACCCAGCGCTCCAGTTCCCCCGCCATGATATATAACCGGCCGCAGGAAGTCCCGGGCCTCCTCCAACGTCGCCCTTCAAGGCATCCTGTCACGGCTTCCGAGCACGTGCCCCGCGCCAGCCAACTACGCTCGCCGAAAGGACCAAAGCTTCCTCTCTATCCCTCTCTCTCTCTCATTCGTTGTTGCCTAGCGACAAATGATAGAGAGGCATAGAGAGGACGCTGCCGTCAAAGATTTCGGAGAAGCGTGGTCCTCCAGAGGGGAATAGAACTGTCATCATCCCTCATTAGCAGCATACCAAATGGTGAGGGATGGTGGGAGCTGCTATTAAAAAAAAAAACAACCAAAAAACCCCAACATCTGGAAGGCCACAAGCTGTCCACACCTGACTTACTCTGGACTCTGCTTTAATGGTTACTGAGACACTATGTAGTCTGAGTTCTTCAGACTACAACTACCACCCCTCCTGTCTTCTGCGTTTTGCAGCCTACGAAGAAAGAAAATCAGTTTGTTGCAGGGCTGGGCACACACTGAATTACAGGCCGTAGCTGCCCTCAGCAACATGAGGATTATGGGAGTTGGAATGAAAACATCTGGAGAGCCAGAGTTTCCTCAATTTTGAGCTTCCCCTTTATGAACCAAATGTGAAACACTTCTAGACATACATTGCTATATAAGTGTCTGTGTCTACTCAGAAATTGTTGATGTTATCTAACTTCCCAGTTACCTCGACAAATGTGCATTAGTAGCTCAGGTCTTGCAAAATCAAAGTCTTGGTTCAATCCATCTCATATTTGGTCCTTCTCTCTGTCTGCTACCTTCAGCTGTTCTCTGTGTTACTGTCTTTTCCCCATGAGTCTTGTCTTTTTAGGATATGCCTAAAGTGTGACAAGCCTCAGCTGAGTTGTTTTTGCTTCTACAGAGAGTTCAGACTTGATTTGATTGGTGGTTTTCAAAGCATGTGAGATACTTCATTTTTGTTTTTACCAGTGCTGCCTCCCGGTGAATTTTTGTGGCAGAGCAGAAATTTGAACCCAGGACTCCTGAGTCTTAGTCCATCGCTCTATCCACTACACTGAACTGGCAGCTTATTGATTTGATCTAGCAGTGGCTTATTTACCTTTGTAGTGGCCCATGGTATCCCTAAGTTTTCCTCCAACACCATATTTCAAACAAATCAGGTTTTCTCCTGTCAGCTTTTTTCACTGTCCAGCTTTCACATCCATACATAACAATGAGGAATGACAGAGTTTTAAAGATCTTGGCCTTGGTGTCCAGTGACACATCCTTACTTCTAATGAGCTTTTCTTAATCCTTCAAAGCTGCCCTTATGAGTCTCGATCTTTTTTCCAATTTCTTTGCTGCAATTTATGTTTGGACTGATAATTATGCCATGGTATAGAAAATATTTCACAATATTGATGTCTTCATTCTCAATATTAAAGTTACGTACTTCTGTAGTCATGATTTTTGTCTTCTTAATGGTCAAACTGTAATCCTATCGAACTATTTGTTTACTTGGATATCTATGAAAGAACCTTGCAAACAGTTTCACAAAATGAGACTCTTCTTTTTCACATATATTACACACAACATGAGCAATTATTGAAGCAACAAAATGCTTCAATTTGTGCATCCAAGTCTTTGGCAAGAGCACCAATACAGAAGTTGCTTGTAGAATGACAAAATTCAAGTCTTATTTTTAATTCCAAATTCAGACATAAATCTAAGATATCATCCTCCGCTGCATTGGGTAAACATAACATAGAAGAATTCGTTCTATACACAGAGTCTAAAAAAAACCCTCAACCAAGTTAGCAAGGGTCTTAGCAGTCTAAGTAGCAACAGCAGCTCCAGCCTCTTCAGCTCTCCCATTCTTTCTGATTCAGTTCTCTTACTCAAAGCCCAGCTCTTTCTTAGTTCCAATGCTTTGGGCTAAACCAATGTTTCATAGGGGTTACACCTTGCACTTTCTTTTTTGACCTTTCTCACCAATTGTTTCCAGTTATTGCTGGTGCTAGTAGGATATGTGCAAATCTTAAATTATTGATGTTTCTTCTTCAAGCTTTTACTCTTTATCAGAATTTAATCCATCTTTTCATGTGATATATTCTGCAAATAGGTTGAACAGATAGGGAAATAAAACATACCTTTTGCCTATGGGAAACCATTCTGTTTCTGCATTATTCTGTCCTAACAAGCATATTGTTCAGAGTATAGATGACACATTAGGACAATCAAATATCTCTTTAGAATTATCCATACGTTTTCATGATCTACACAAAGTCGTTTTATGAAGCACACAATGCCTTTCTTTAGAAATTCCTTGGTACATGCCAGGAGCCAATGAAAATTTGCAATGTGATCTCTAATGCTGCTTCCTTTTCTGAATCCAGCCTGAACACTGGTCTTTTCTTGCTTCATATATAATCTTTGTTGAAAACTTCTGAGTATCAGGTTGCATACATGGGGGAAAAGGTGCTTTAAGTACTATAAGCTTTGGTATCTCCTATGTTTGAAACTTGAAATTGTATGGAATGTTTTCAGTTCGTGGACCAGTTGTCAGGATCCACTTGCAAAGCTTTGCCAGTGCAGAAGGAATAATATCACCACCACCACCAGCAGCAAATTGCTGCTAATTAGAGTTCCTTCTTCAATTTTGGTTTGTGTGTATCTAAAAATTTCAAAAGGATTTACTTAATCAGTTGCAACCCCTCACTGCTAGTGACATCATTCCCACAGTGTCAGCAGAGCTCTGCAAAACGACACTGGTCATTGCTCTTTTCCCCCCTGTATTCAATGGCATATTCTTGTTAGGATTATGACTGAAATAGGCTCCACTGAGTTAAGTGATACTCCTCCGAGAGTCTGTACTGGATTGTAGCCTTAATATATTAGACTTGCAGACATAACTACACATGAAGGTTTCCTGTAAAAGTTCTCTGTTGTTTTCCTAAATCCATTACAGCTGCAGTTGTTACAGAAGTTTAAAGTACAAGAACCTTGTTTGAAGAAGTGGTCGCAAGACCAGATGGGCGGATTATAAATAAATAAATGAAAAAGCAGTTGCCTAATCTGTTTGGTCAACACTATACAGTACAGTGGTATCTCGACTTATGAACGTACCTACTTGCGAACGATTCAAGTTACGAATGGCTCCGTTCACAAAAAGTTGCTTCGACCTGCGAACAGAGCCTCGACTTACGAATCAAAATGAAAAAATAAAAAAATAAAAAAACCTTTCCTGCCCTTTTTTTGACCTAAGTTCACCTTAGGTCAAAAGAAGAAGAAAAAATTCACCCCCTAGTGGTAGAATACGGATTAACCAGCTTTGCATTAGTTCCTATAATGCCTCTGCCTACGAACAGCGCCTCGACATATGAACGAAAACCAGCAGATATGGATTAAATGGTTTTCAATGCATTCCTATGGAAAAGTTTGCCTCGACTTACGAACTTTTCAATGTATGAACGCCATTCCAATACGGATTAAGTTTGTAAATCGAGGTGCCACTGTACTACCTTTTTTGACCCCTTTCTCTACCCTGGGTGGTTAAAAACTATCTTGCACTGCATAACAAACTACCATAAACTGCTCTAAATGGTGGCAATATGTTGGGCAGCACTTCAGCAATTCAACTGCCAAAGTAATTTAGGAGCAAACTGATAAATATGTTTAGTATAAAAGAAGAATGTTAATCTAGTGCTCCTCAGCTAGAATGCAGGGGAAAGAGACGCCCTTCTTCATAGCACATATTCACTGCTGAAGTAATCTGGAGCTGACACTATCCTCTCATGGTGGTTCAAGATTAGGTTTATTTGAACCAAGGTGTTGGTTTTAGTCCCTGTTCTATCCTCACAAGAAGCCTATGAGGTACCTCATTCTAAGAGAAAGAGATTAGCCCAAGATCAGCCTAAGAACCGCATGGCTCCATCAGTAATTGAACCCAGATCTCTCACATCCCGGCTTCTATACCACAGGGGCCTTGGATTCCTCTCTTGATTTTCAGGCATTGAGTAGAGCCAGCCTGTGGGGCCTTGGGCAACTTGTACAATGCCCCCAGAAGAAGGGTACGGTAAACCGCTTCTGTTCCTAGAAAACCCTGGAAAGGGTCCCCATACATCAGAATAGAGTTTATGGCACATGATTATTGTTAAGATGCAGCTAAATAAGTTTGCCTTTTATATTATTTTATTGCATTGCATCACTTGAATGATTTTGCAATTCCCCCCCCCCTAGTTTTATTGTTGTTGTTTTTTAATATACTGGCCTACATTGGATAGACTGCCAGATTAGGATTCAAGAATTTTCGATTCAAATCGGTGTGTAACTATAAACTTCACTGTGGATGGCACTGGTTAAAACCACTCCTTATGTATCTCATATTACTCAAAACCCCTACTACAGTCCTCATAATTTGAATGTGACTGTAAGGTGCATAACACCGGCCTTGCAACTTTTAACTAAATGTTCATCACAGAAACACAGATAGAACTGAATAAACAAGAAAGCTCGGGTAAGTAAATCTTGCTGCTAAGTCAGGAGTTGCAGTGTTTGGGCCTTTCTGAGACTTCGCTCCTCCTTTGTCACAATCGAGTGAAGATATTCACAAAGTCAAATGCAGCATGTAGAATCATCTTGCAGTGGTGCACCAAGGTCCAAGTACTCTGTTTCCAATGTTGTGTGACTAGCCAGCTGTCTCAGAGAAGAGAGGCACACGGTTTATGGTGTTTACGTCACCTTCAGTGCAGTATCCATTTAACTATGAAGTCTAACAGACAACAGTGGAATAGCAAGTCAGCGTGCAACACCATTCTGGTTTATTGTTAATAATAATAATTACATATAAAAAACACTGATGGAAATGGCTGGACACAGCTGTTTCAGCCCTTGGCCCATATATATGTTGATCTTTGCAGACTCTATTCCACTCATCAAAGGAAGAGATTCTGACAGGTCCAATTGTTTACCCACTCATTCTTGGGCTCCAGGCATGGCTGTTCCCACAGTGCAAAATTAAGAGGGGAAGTGATAATAAAAAGGGTGCACATATGACAAGATAAATTAGCAAGGAAGAGGGAGAAGAAACAAGTTGTTTTCCTCATTCCTTCCCATCTGTGACTCCTCCTTCCATTCATTCACACTTCCATTCCCTCAGTCCTTGGGCTACGACTTTCTACCCTCATACATTAGTCGCTCTTCCATCCTCTCAGTCTCCATCCTTTTCTACGGATGAGTTCTGCCATTCTTCAAGTCATTTAACCTCATGGATTCCAATAGTGAGGAATTCTTTGTCAAATGTTTAGGAAGACGGCCAATATGAATGCATTGTTTCCCCCTTTATGAGAGACTCTGCCAGACTTGTACTGCCAGCACCAGAGAGTGGCATTCTGGGACATGGTGGCATCCTAAGCCCTGAAATAACCCCAGGATTTTGGAGTTTGTAGTAGATGGCATAGGTGCCCGCAATGGCATCTTACTTTCTTGAGTTGGTCCACTGCCTCACGGCTGTTAATTAGTTTACCCTCTGCAGGTCTAGCCTAAAACATTTTGATGCCAGAGGCCAAGGCCAAAGTTCCCTCCAATCCCACCTTCCATATATCAAACTGAACTGGTCTGGCAGTCAAATCTGACTTCAACACTGGGAACAGGATAATACCTACCGTACAGAACAGGCTAATTTAGGAGGTGTAGAAGAAGATGCATGCCACACACAGCCCTGTCCTTTTCAAAACAACAACAACAATCTGGGGCCTCAGCAGGAAGGCAGAGAAACTGCCAGACCTTCCAAAAAATTACTTCCCTCCCCCCACATCAAGAGCACCCAGCCAGCACAAGGGCTGCCACTGCTGCCCAGCATCGGTCACCAGAGGCAGCTACCTCACTCTTTCTGATGTTAGGGTCAACATAACCGGTTAAAGTCATGCAGAGGTGATTGCTTCTCCTCATTTTTATGACGGCTTGCTCATTCAGACAAGAAGACAGGTAATAACAAAGAGATGCAGCCATCAGGATTAGGCTGCTGCACAGCAGGGGTAGTGACTCCTCTGCTCAGGAGGGGCTCTCTTCAGGTGCCTAGCGGGGCAGATCTCTGATGCTGACCCTGACTCAGAAGCAACAGAAGATCCTCAAAGGGGAGGTCTTCAAAAGCTGCATGTGATCTTAAAACAAAGGTACTACTTGTTCTTCACTTTCCTGTTTGTCTTAACCAAGCTCGCTACCACCCCCTACTGGACCAAAAGGAGTGCCACATTAGCCGCCACCATACTTCCAGCCTCATGTTGTCTGCCTTCTGGTCTCATGGGGGAAGAAGAATCTGGATCGCTCTGTCAGATCATGTGACCCACTTTGTCTGCCCATCTCACGGCAGAAAGCATCACCTGGTGGCCTCCTGACTGAGGTTTCCCTACATCATGACCACCGACTTCATAGAGAACTGTCAGTATGTTATAACGGTGACCACTTAACATTTGGAAAGCCACTCTTGAGTTTTCCTCCTGGGTCCACTTTTCCAAAATCCCTATTGCCATGCACTGAAGGATGGCAAGTAACTAAGTCGGTTTGTAAAATAACAACAATTTAAAAAAAATTTAAAAATCGACAAAAAAAACACACACCTATTTTCAAAATATCACTTTGTTTTCTAACATTCCGACTGCCACTATTCACCACCTCTCATGCTTGCTCATTCAGTCTCACAGGACTTCTGCATCCTCAAAAACAGGAAATGGACATGACTAAACAGGAAGCGTCACTTCTCTTCCAGCTTTGCTGACCATCTCCACGAGCTACTGCCTTCCCATTCTATGCTTCCAAACATACATCTGGCAGTCTCTACTGCCTGAACTAGAGAGAGAGAGAGAGAGAGAGAGAGAGAGAGAGAGAGAGAGAGAAGAAACGGTCTCAAAGAGCAAGCAGCTCTGCCCACATGCAGAGAGAAACCTTTCCCCATTTGCCCAGTTTCATGCCTTCACACCAAGTGCTCCTCTTGGAATAACTCCAAAACGCCCTCCCTATTTGCCCCATCGCATGCCTACTCACAGACTCGGTTAAGAACAAGAGCCCAAAACATGGAAAAAATGTGATCTTTTTAGACTGTAATTCCCAGAAACCATGGGCCATGCCACCCAGAGAATTCAGGGAATTATATTCCCACCAACAGGCGGCCAGAAAAAAAGTAATTTCCCCAAGCAGTGCTAGAGCCATACCATTTTCTCCAGAATGGCTTTAAAAAGAAAGGGGAAGACAGAGAGATAACGAGAGAGAAAGTTAATGAAAGAGAGAGATGGGGGGGAGGGGACTCCCCACCCCCACTATAAAACTTTCTCCAATATTGATAGGTTGACAGTGTGCAACTTAATTGCTCCTTCTTCCTCTTACCCCTTCACCCATATGGCAGCTATTAGAAATTGTTGTTTGGTTTCCTTTAAAAGTCCTAATGGACAATATGATATTTTACCAACATATAAAAAAAAGCCAGGAGTTCCTGGGCATTCTGGAAGAGTCCCGTCAGCCCACGGAGGGCATCCGCTGTAGTTTGGGTGGTTAAGCAGGAAGAAAAACAAGGTGACAACATTAGCCCTTGTTTGAAACGGCAACACCAGAGAAGTATGTACGCAAGGTTCAGTACTCCGGCTATTGACAGTTCTTTTTTTTCCAAGTGGCTGGTTAGGTTGCTGTTGCACCGGAGTTTGCATTGGCTGGCAGTGTCGGGATAAGGAAAGGAGACTCTGAGTTGTACCCGTGTACGGCTGAGAGCAGCTTCTCTACCAACTCATATGATTTGGAACACCTCTTGCTATCTGGATTTGGGGTGACCGGGGCAGGGTGTCTCTGTGGTCCTGTTTTCAGTGCCAGAGTGGAGGGTGTAGTTCGATGCCGATGAGTGGAAGATACTTTTGTAACTGTCTCTCATTTCTTGAAGGAAGAAACACATCCAGAGTGTCAGAAAAGGGCAGCATTTTCCATTCTTTCTCAGTCCCAGCTTCTGTTCTCAGCGTTTGTGGTCACTGGAAGACGGAAACAGACCAAAAGTACATCCGAAGGATTTGGAATGTGGTAGGAATCCTTAGATAGGCGTGATCCTTCCTTGTGATGGAGAAGGATGAACAGGTTACCGCCGGCAGGACTCATCTGGAAAGGAGCAGAGAAAGAACACACACGCTGTCAGCCAGAAGAAAAGCACAAGGAAGGGAACTGTTAGTACCTTCACCACTAAATCACGACCAAAGCAGCAGTCCTTGCACTTCTCAACTAAGGCCACTAGATGGAACCTCATCATGAGTTTCCATGTTTAAAACCAGAATTTGGACACCGCAACACAAGAATCATTATATTTTTGGAAAGAGACAGGACGGGGCGCATAATATAAATTAAGATGAAACATACTGATGACAATATTTATATATAAATTTATATTCCCAATGGTGGTGGGTTACACTGCATATTTGAGTTGTGATTCTATTTGTCATTTATGTTTTTGCTATATTTTGTTATATATTCAAAAAACAAACCCAGAATTTGGACGGGCAGGGGATCCTTTTTGCCTCCTGGAGAGTTATGGGAGTTGCAGCCCCCTCAAACCAATGTTTCTGAGGACTAAAAATAATTCCCCCTCATTTCTGAACACTCCCACAGACAAGAGATCCTTCCTTCCACGTGTACCTTATTTTTCACAATAGCACACCTTCTCATGTTTGAACGTTTTGTCTTGCTCTAATGCTCTTATCTATCTATGTGCTGTCAAGTTAATTCTGACTTATGACAACCTTTTTCAGAGATTTCCAGGTAGATAATACTTAGCAGTGGTTTAGGATTTCCTTTCTTCTGGGGCCATCCCGGAACTGTGCAACTTGCCCATGGCTACACAGGCTGGCTCTTCTTCCTGGAGGCACAGTGGGGGAATCAAACTCCCAACTTCTGGATCCACAGCCAGATGCCTAACTCACTAAGCTATCCAGCCAGCTGACACACTTATCGCCTGTTCTCAATCCTACCTGCTTGATCAGTTCCACAAACAAATCAGATCCAAAGAAGAATAGGTTTCTAGCTTTCTTTTTGTTGATATGTTTCTAGCCTTCATGGTCACCTATAAAAGACTAAAAATGTGCATGTTCCTCCTGTCATAGGTTCACTGAATGGATGGAACCTTTTTCCACCCAAAGGTATGGATTGCTGAGAGCTCTGTCTGATGGAGAAGCAAGCGGCGTTCCTTCTTAACATCATATTGGGTCCACCTCAGTCACTTGCACTGGTAGGGAGTTGGACTAAATAATCTTCAGGACTCTTCCCAGCTGTTATGTTTAGATAAACAAACACTTTTCAAAAGTGCAGGTTAACATGGCTAATTTTAAAGTTAATAGAAATCTCAGGCCTAAATCTCAGCCAACAGTGAGACTTCAGTCCCACTGAATCATAGGGTGAATGGTGGGTTTTATGCAAAACCCACTGATGGTCTGCCGTAGTAGGGGCTACCCCTTGGATGCATGCCTCGACTTTTAAAAACCAAGTTAACAGATCGTATTAGCACATCCTAACTTCAGCAGTACTATTTCATGCACTAAGTGGGAAACTGAATGCCTGAAAACCCGCCTTATAAAATATGATCCCCTCTGCCTTGAACAAATTGCTAACAAAACTGTTTAGGGAATGGTGACAGTATTCAAGCCTTTGATGACTGGGGTATTCTCGGAATTGTAGTCTAAAATGTTAACGTTTCCCATTTCATGCGCTAAGTGGGAAACTGAACGCCTGAAAACTCCCCTTATAAAATATGATGCCCTTTGCCTTGAACAAATTGCTAACAAAACCGCTTCAACAATAGCTACAGTTCCTTCTCTAGGGGTTTAGGGAGTGGTGACAGCATTCAAGCCTTTGATGACTGGGGCATTCTGGGAATTGTAGTCTAAAATGTTAACGTTTCCAAGCTCTGCATTTGCTCTTTCATTTGTCATCTCATATGGTTCAGTCCAGCCACAGAGAGCAACAGTGTGATGTTTGACCTCTCTGTGATACCCAACGGTTTCTCTGCAAGGCTTTTATTGCAGCTGCGGGCCTGGGAGGGACCTCATGGATCATTGGGTCCAGCTCCTGTCAAGGAGGCCCAGTGGGGGATTCTCTGGCTCCACAACCATTGAGATATCCAGCAGTTCCCTCCCTTCCCAGCTAGCAACGCCTGTTGTCATCCTGTCTCATCTTGACTTGCAATGTCAAACCTCAGAAAAGGATCCATACTTGGGTGAAGCGTATGTGGGAAAGAGGGCAGCACTCATCAATAGACCATCATCCGGGCATCTCCAGAGGCTCCCAGAGACTTACCTACAATGAGGGGCTTAGTCCTCAGCAGACCAGGGAGGCCACGATGAAGCAGCAACAACTCCTCCTCCTCTTCTTCCTCATCCCCATGGGGATTGGTGCAGGTCAATGAATCTGACTCCTCAGGAGGCCCAAACTCCTCAAGTAGGGAATCCTCTGATGGATACTGAAAGGTCCTCTCCAGCTGGTTCTCACTGAATGAGATCTTAAGCTGCAGAAAAGAAGAAATAAAAAGATGAGTAGTCTGCTTTCAGAAATGTTTGGGAGTCAGTTTCCAGAATCCAGAAGATGGGATGTCCAGCTAACAGCCATGCACTTTGTACGAGATTCTAGGAGCTGCGGTCCAAAAACGCACACATTTGCCATTGCTGGTCATTGTACTCTCTCCTGGCTGTGCAGGATCAGACCAATGGGGCACTCTCAGTTTAGATCTGCAGTCCTGTACTTCTGGACCCAGAAGTAAGTTCCACTCGATTCCACCTCCAAGTGAGTTTCAACGGCCAAGCAGGATTCAAGCTTGAATCCTAGACCATAAATTTACCCGCTACACAACACTGGGTATCAGTGACAACATTTAGCTGTTGACAGATCCTCTGGACTATTATTAAAGATTCAGAAGCAGCTGACCATCCTAACTGGCAGAGTTAGGAAGTAACTCAGTTATTACCAGGTCTGCAATTTCTATGTTTTCAATAGAACGAGTGCCTGCTGTTAACTCTTTAATGGTGTGTGTGTCATGAAGGAGCAATATGAATCACGTGGATGTTTCATTTTGTGTTGCTACCTCCCACTTGCCCTTGTTTGTGGAAACAGCATTGTAGGGAGATGGGAACTAAGGAGGAAGAAAGCATCACCATAAGGCATCATCACAGCTATCATTTCTTTCCAAACCTTGAAAAAGTTACTTTTTGCACTCCCAGAATCCCCAAGACCTGTTTGGCGGACGGGAGTTCTGATAGTTGTAGTCCACAAAAGGTAACTTTCTCAAATATCTGCGATTTTCCTTCTTCGTGTGGGTTTTTTTTTATCTGACCCCAAATAAGAAGAATGAGTTGAGAAAACAGAAGAAAGACTAGGCTTGCAAATGGATAACATAAAAATTTGGCATTTGGCACCATGATTACTTTTTGAACTAGCCTAGGCAGAGGATTCTGGGAGTGGACAATCAAGAAAGTAACTTTTCCAAGGTGTGTTTGCACCTATTTGGTGCAAGCTGGGGTGGGGGGCGCTCACTTAGTAGGACAGCAGGCAGCAGATGAATGGTGGACCCCCACAGCATAACTATTTGGTTCCTCATCCTGATTGACTACACACAGAGGACATTGTGTTCATTCACAGGCCCCTTTTATCAGGATGGGCCCTACAGCCGATGCCCTATGACCTTATCTCCCTTTGACTCTGGGCTGCCGGATAAAAGCGGTTCACCCACCTGCAACAACCAGCAGAACCGACTGCCCTGTTTTGCAACTGAAAGAAGAAAGAGGATGTGACTTAAACACGTCTAATTATATCCTAGTTGCCACCAACCCCTTCATACAGCTTGGTTGGTTCTTCTTCTACACTCAATCCCCCGCCCCCGGAAAAAGTACCGGTCTGTCATTTGCAAGGTTAAGAAGGTGTGATTCTGAACAACGCAGGCAAAGAAATTAAAAGTGAAGTGAAATGCTGGAAGGAAGTATAATTCAAAGTGGGACAGCGGAGGGCTACGGAGAATAAATGCTGACACAACCCATAAAAGGACAGGAAGTTGCATCGCTTACAGCCAGTCAAGTCACTCTGCTGTTGCCTGCCAGGATAAGTCTTCCTCTCCCCACTACCGCAAGCTGCAACAAGAGATAAATCTAGGAGGAAATGAGATTACACTGCCCCACGTGCACCACCCCTCCAGGGCAGAGATGGAAAGAGGGAGAAGGGGAGGGAGAATGAGGATGTTCTCAAGGGTAGACTTCCTCCTCCTCCTCCTCCTCCTCCTCCTCTCTCACCTTGATGCACAGTAAAGTGAGGCAGTTAAAACTTGCACAGAGGAAGCCACAGGCAAACTGAATTACCCGGAAAGATGATGAACTTAAGGTATTCCTGCAGGCTGTCTAGACACAATCAGCCTCTCTGGAACAACCCAATCACAATGACTGATACTACAGTATTGCAGTCTTAGAAGAGGTGGCTGTGTGAGTCTGTAGAAGCACATCGGGCAAAAACAACATAAAAATAAAGGAGATTTAAAACATTGTGCCACCTTAAAAGACTGTTAGTATATTTAAATGTAAGCTTTCATGGACCTTCTTCACCTACTTTCACTGTGTGGCCTCTTTATTCCACTTCATACATCTAAAGGAATGGGTGAAAAAAATCCACAAAATGCTTACAATAAAATATAATGGTTAGTCTTTAAGGTGCCATAACATTTTTGTCTTTTTAATATTTATTTTGTTTTTGCCTGATCTGCTACCACTAGCAAGCGTATGAGGTCAACCAAATGCAAAGGGCTGCTGTCAGCCATGTGCCATTGTTGCCCTGCTTCTGACCTCTGCTGAAGATATTTTTAATTACTCTATTAATAATACTAATATATTCAAAATACACCACACTAGGTAGCTAGAATAATGTTATTTGCTAGTTATACTGGTAAAAAGGTAAAGGTTCCCCTTGATAATTTTTGTCCAGTCATGTTCGACTCTAGGGGGTGGTGCTCATCCCCATTTCCAAGCCATAGAGCCAGCGTTTTGTCCGAAGACAATCTTCCGTGGTCACATGGCCAGTGCGACTTAGACACGGAATGCTGTTACCTTCCCACCGAAGTGGTCCCTATTAATCTACTTGCATTTACATGCTTTCGAACCACTAGGTTGGCGGGAGCTGGGACAAGCGACGGGCGCTCACTCCATCGCGTGGATTCGATCTTACGACTGCTTGGTCTTCTGACCCTGCAGCACTGGCTTCTGCGGTTTAGCCCGCAGCGCCACCACGTCCCTTCAGTTATACTGGTACAACACCATAAACTGTAGCCACTTGAAACAGCACAGAGGAGAATTCATCGTGTTGGTCGCCAGTGATGCCACCAGTAAGCAAGTTGCTGCCTGTGTATATTGCTTTGCACACCAACTCAGCTGATGAGCATGTGCCTTTGCACTTCCATCAGCATAAGTAAGCAATAGTCTCTCCAGTACTTCGACCTTCCTGGGTTGCTGGCCTGTGAGTGATTTCCTGCCTGCACCCAACCAATATCATTATTCAAGATACCTACCATTATGCAGTACAGACCTGAGCTGTTTTGCTGCCCCAGAACTCTGGAAAATTACCTTTTTGGACATCAGCTTCCAGAAATTTCCTAGTCAGCATGGGTACTGGATTCTGAGTTTCACTCCAAAAAGTATTCCCCCCCCCAAGACCTGTGCTGTTTCAAGATCCACAGTTCTTTGCCTCATAAGAAGCTACATTTTAGCAAATTAGACCATTGGTCAGTCTTGGTTGGTCTCCTAAGGCTTTAAATAATAATAGTAATAATAATAATCACATGTTGACTGATGGAAACTGTTTTCCACGTACAGAATACTCAGAAGCGATTTAGCATTCCCTTCTTCTGGGGATGCCCTGGGACTGTGCAGCTTGCCCAAGGCCACACAGGTTGGCTCTAATCATAAGATGCAAAGTGGGGTATTGAACTCCCAACCGCTAGCTTCACAGACCATATCTAAACCATTGGTTATATTATATTATATAGGATCCTATACTACAGTATAGTATATGCTCCGACTGATAAAACTCTGCTTGCCAGGAAAAGGTGGTGGTGGGGGAGAAAGTAGCCAAATTTATTCCTACTTCTGTTAATAGTCTTAACAGCCCATCCAATTACTTCCCTGCTATTATTTGAAGGACAGTTTTCCAGAGAATCAAAAGTGATCCATAACCCAGAATGTTAGGCTTCAGTATAGGAGGTGAAAATTCATCATGCTGGCCATTAGTCATAAAGTCACAGAGCTATCCATAGAAGTTGTGTTTTATAAAATGAGGGAACTGCAGTAATTGACCTCACAGGGTCAATACGAGAAAGAAGGACAAGAAAGTAACTCAGTTATTTCACTTTCCAAAATATGTCTATACATGATCAACCATTATTTTACACTCCTGGCGTTCTCACGCTCAGAATATCCAAAGGGTACACGGTTTTACTTTTAATCTTAAAGCAGACTGCATGCCTTTGATTCTGTAATCAGGCATAAAGCACTAATTACTCACCACACTGAATTCTAAGAAGCCGGTTTGCCAGTCCAGCCCATCCTCCTTCCTCACCCAGCTTGCAAGCAGGACTGGCCCAACCAACCCTTAGGCAAAGTGAGGAAGTGGCCCCAGGCAGTAGATTCTGGGTGTCACTAAGGGCAAGCAGACAGGACTTTAATTTGTTATGGTTTCATTTTTGCTGCGACTGAATTGTCTACCTTATCAATATAGCTTGACTTGTCAGAAGTGGGTGCCATTTCCTTCTCCCCATCAGACAATAAAGTGTCTTCAATATGACCTGCGTTCAATTCCAAGTCCCCTTGGCTGGACTTTAGCAACCTAGGGGGTCCTTGATCTTATCTTCTTTCCAAGTGGTTCCCATGGGAATTAATCCAAGCTAATCTCAATTAACTGAAGTCTATTAATGACCTAGGGTAGGGGCGGGGGTGGTGCAGGATGCTCACATTCAGGGATTTAGAAGAGAATAGGATTGCTGAATATAGGAGTGGGGTGGAGATTCGCTTACCCTCGTCTTGCCCATAACAGCAGATTTATCTGCAGAAACGAGCCAGTCAAACATGTATACAGCTTGGTAGAACTCAGTGAAAATGTGTAGGCTGTATTCTGTGCAGTCATTTACTGTGAAACAAACTTGCTAACACCTTCCAACATTTTGGCTGTCTGTATTGTGTTATGTCTCCTCACATTAAAAATTAAAAGGGTTTTCAAGGGAGGTGAGATACCTAAGGAGTGGTTTTATTAGTTCTATACCCACCCACCCTTGCTTTTCCACAGCTAAGAAGGAATTTGAACCCAGGTCTCTTGAGTCCTAGCCATCACTATCCACAACACCACACTGGGCACCTTAACGTTTTGGTGAATGGATGCAGAACCACAGAACAAACATGAACGATTCCAACCTCATGCCTACATTTTATAAAATAAACTCTTGGTATAATTAGCAGCACAATTCTATGCACAGCTTGGAAACAC